GAAGAGGACCAGGGGCAGGGCTCTGAGGGTTGTTGGATCTTATGAGGGTTCTTTGACCGAGGCAACCATCCAGGAGCACCAGGCAAAAAGTTGAAGCAAGTTCTGATGGCTTCGATCTCTTCTCCGAGCCCCCCAGGATGAATACGAGGTCCAGACGGCGCTCGTGCTGGTCCCCAGTCCTTTGGAGGACATCCTCCGAGCCAAAAGGCGCCAACTGGTGGCGCTGCGGGGCCGCATCAAACGCGGCGGCGAATTCGACACGGTGAACCATTACGAGGCAGTAGCCAGGGAGATCCAAGCGGAAGTGGAGGAGTCTCCCGACTGCGGGGGGGGGGGGGGAGCAGCAAGTCCTTGTTGTTGGCATTGTCGGACCTTGTTTGGACCCTCTTTTTTTCTTTTGTGTGTGTGTTTTTGTTCCATTAGGAGGAGCGTGTCCTTTTTGCCTGAAGCCTTTGGGGCGCCTCAGGCTTCAAAGAAGCCTCCACAAGATGCATGATGTGCCCTCCCGCATGAGCGAGACGAAGCCGGATGCAAACGCCGACACGGGCTCGACCAAGACCTGCGACGTGTCCTGCTCCACGAGTGAGTGGAAGACCAAGGCTTCGAGTGCTAGGCGAAACAAGCAGAAGTTTGGATGCTTGGCCAAGTTGGGAATGCTCGCTTGGGAGCTTTGCGGAGGCTCCTAGGAGCCCTCCCGAAGAAAACTCGAATTCGTTGAGGCTCTCCTTGAGACAGCCGCGACAGCTGCGTGCAGAGGGCTGCGGCTCAGATTTGGAGATGCCGGCAAGTTGGAGTTGGCCAGTGTTCCATTGCCCGTTTGTACAAACAGGCTACTATTTTTACTGTAAGTGCTAAAACCATCGTTTCTATTTGCGTCAATCCCACCGCATGGCCGTGCTTGCCGATTTTGAGCTGGAGCCAGCGTTAATGCATTTGAGCCGTGGCTCGTGCCCGGCGACCGTCAGCTGGGTTCGCGACCGGCGGCTGAGCGAGCCAGGGAACGAACCCTGCCGATGGTTGAAGATAGATTCAATATGACTGATTCTCTTTCGAAACAAAAAAGGAAGATAAAAAAGTGGGGGCTGCCAAGTTGAAAACTCGGGGTAGGATCACTCGTTGCATGATGTGGCCTTTGTTTCTGTGTCGTTTAGTTCCATTTCGTAAACGGGAACAGCAACCAGTCAGCAACTCATCAATTCATCATGCCTTCAGATGGACTGGGACGAGGCCGGATCAATGTCAAAAATTGGAAAGGCAGATGAGATTCCCACCCTCAAATTGTGGGTTTCGGCGTTGAATCCCGCTTTGGGGAGGTCCCAGCGGAAATTGGGGAAAAAACCACCTGGGGGAGGTGTTTTTTCCAATTTCGTGTCAGGGAATATCCCCCTTCATTTTCCGAGGGGGGGGAGGTGTATTTCCTGCATCCAGTCAAGGAAAATCCACCTCCCCCCTCTCAGTGTTCCATTTTTAGGCGCCGGTGCTCCATATTGTAGCGGTTTTGCAGGTAGAACCACCTTCCCCTTCTTGAATTTCATTATATGGGTGTGGAAGGGGCGCACAGTAGCCCCATGAAATTTGGTTGGGGGGGAGGTCAGAGCTCAAGATCCTGGATCGCCTGTGACCAGTCTTGGACGTCTTCGCATCGCCGGCTGCCATGGCCATTCCGCACGACGTGACTCTGGTGACAGAGGACCTCGGTTGAAGTGATCGTTCTGGGGATTAAACATGCTTCAGCTCTTCTTCCTTTGGCGCCTCTCAAACTTAAGAGCGCCCGTCCCTCGCGCCTCTGGAGCGACGCGTTCAAGCCCAGGACTCCCGGAAGTTCTTGAGCTCCGAGCTGGCCGGCGGAGCGCGTCCAACCTCTGTCAAGCAGCGAGGTTGGACGCGCTACGTCCTGGAAGAGGACCAGGGGCATGGCTCTGAGGGTTGTTGGATCTTATGAAGCAAGTTCTGATGGCTTCTATCGCTTCTCCGAGCCCCCCAGGATGAATACGAGGTCCAGACGGCGCTCGTGCTGGTCCCCAGTCCTTTGGAGGACATCCTCCGAGCCAAAAGGCGCCAACTGGTGGCGCTGCGGGGCCGCATCAAACGCGGCGGGGAATTTGAGACGGTCAGCCTGAGCGTGTCGAATTCCCCGCAATTGCGAGGCAGTAGCCGAGGAGATCCAAGCGGAGGTGGAGGATTCTCCCGACCTTGGGAGGGAGGGGAGCAGCAAGCGCTTTGTTGTTGGCATTGTTGGACCTTGATTGGACCCCGTGTTTTTTGGTGTGTTTTGTTTCATCAGGAAGACGCGGCGTGTCCTTTTCGCCTGAAGCTTTTGGGCGCCTCGTGGAGAATGACACGACGTGCGTCTTGTTGAGGCTTCTTTGAAGCCTGAGGTCAGGCTTCAAAGAAGCGAGTCAGGCTTCAAAGAAGCCTCAACAACACGCACGACGTGTCCTTCTCCACGAGTGAGAGGAGAATGTCAATGCCTTGGTCTTCCTCTCACTAGTGGAGAATGCTAGGATTAGCACGCAGAAGTGGACCCGATGCTGGGCCAGGAATGCTCGCTTGGGAGCTTTGCGGAGGCTCCTAGGCGCCCTCCTGAAGAAAGCTCGAATTCGCTGAGGCTCTCCTTGAGACAGCCGAGGCAGCTGCATGCAGAGGGTTGCGGCTCAGATTTGGAGATGCCGGCAAGTTGGAGTTGGCCATTGTTCCACTGCCCGTTTGTACAATCAGGCCTCGTTTTGATATTATTGACTGTAGGTGCCATGATTTGTGACGTGCTGGTTGAGGGCCTCCCCACTAAAACCCCACCGCATGGCCGTGCTTGCCGATTCTGAGCTAGAGCCAGCGTTAATGCACTTGAGCCGTGGCTCGTGCCCGGAGACCGTCAGCTGGGTTCGCGAACGACTGAGCGAGCCAGGGAACGGACCCTCCTGATGGCTGAAGATTGATTCAACATGCCTGATTCTCTTGCGAAAAGTCGCTGGGCCAGCTGGGCTGCAAGTTGGGACTTCGAATGAGACTAGAAATCCGTGCCCCAACTCATCTCCCAACCTACGGTGCTTAATCAATGCGGCGCATCTTCAGGACGAACCAGATCTTGGAAAGGAGAGCATGAGCGAGCATGAGTACAGTTTTGCTTGTTGAGTCTGTGCTCAAACATAGATTATCCGATCCTATTGCTCTGCTGGTGCCATGCTGCGCAGCTTGGCCAAGCAGGTGAAGAACTTGAGCCAGGACTGCGGTTGGGACGGCCTTTGAAGTCTTTCGGCACAGGCCTCCAAAGGTAGAACAGCCCAGACCCCTACTTTCAGCAGCCCCATGCTCTCCGTTTCAGCACACAAGCAAAGAACGGGCGTCTGGTTGTCTGAAATGGACGTGAAGTTCAAGCCCAGGACTCCTTGGCATTGCTACAGGAAGTTCGGCAAGAGGCAGTTGGTCTCTTGGAGGATGTGAGCCGCCCTGAGCCGGCTCGGCGTCCGCGCTTGGAAGTCCAAGAGAAGCCTTACAATCCCTGGAAGGACCAGGGGGCGTTCGGAGCGAAGTCTTCGAACTTTCTTGCCCATGTTTCAACGAGAATCCTCAAAAGCGAAGAAGGGAATCCCCCGAGGACGACTACGACGTCCAGACGGCGCCTGTGCTGGTCCACAGTCCCTTCGAGGACATCCGGAATCCGTGTTCACTAAAATGAGCATTGGAGGCGATCTCATGAAGCCGGATGATGTCGCTTGAAAAGCTTCAGGCACGTTCCATCACGTTCCCCTTGGTTTGACTGGTGTGTTCAGGGTCTCACTTTCATGAGGACATCCGGGCCAAGAAGCGCCAGCTGTCGGCGCTGCAGGGCCGAATTAAACGCGGTGGAGACGTGGAGATGGTGCGGCACTACCAAGCGGTGGCCAAAGAACTTCAGGCGGAGGTGGCGGAGTCTCCCGACTCGGGGTCCAGCAGCCTTTTTCTTTGTGAGTGTGTGTTTTTGGATTCTGCTCTGATGTGCTCTAATCCCCCCTCAACCCTGTTCGGGTTGCAGGCCCCCTTTGCTTCTTTTCGACCGGGTGGGTTGTTTCATTTTGTAACCGGGACCCGCCAGGCTTCAAAGAAGCCTCGACGCTGACGCACATGTCAAGACATACATGTCCTTCTCCACCCGAGAGAGGAAAAAGCAGGCGATCGAAGCCTCGAGGCTGAAGATGCAGAATTGGCCCTGGGAGCCTCAGTTGCGGATGTGTATTCTTTTCTTTGGGCCTTCGGGTTTCCGGTCGTTGGCCTATGTTATAGGCTATAACGGTCATGACGTGTTCTATTGTCCCAACAACTTGGTGCAGTCTGAGTCGCAACTTACAGGTGAACCTGTCATTTCTCGGTGCTTCCAAGCGAGGAGCGGATGCCGTGGCACTTCGTGGGCACAGAGGACGACGGTGAGTGGACCGTGGTCGCTTGAGCGCCAAGGCGTCCTCCCAGAAGAAAACTCGAATTCGCTGAGGCTCTCCTTGAGACAGCCGAGACAGCTGCATGAGGGCTGCGGCTCAGATTTGGAGAAGCCGGCAAGTTGGAGTTGGTCTGCCCGTTGGTACATGTTGGTACAAGCAGGTGTTTTTTGATACTATTAACTGGAGGTGCCATGACTTATGACGTGTTTGTGGAAACCCTTCCCACGACAACCCTTGTGTTTCTATGTTTGCGTTAATCCCACGGCATGGCCGTGCTTGCCGATTTTGAGCTATAGCCAGCGTTAATGTGTTTGAGCCGTGGCTCGTGCCCGGCGACCGTCAGCTGGGTTTGCGACCGGCGACTGAGCGAGCCAGGGAACGAACCCTGCTGATGGTTGAAGATAGATTTAATATGACTGGTTCTCTTGCGAAAAGTCCGGACTGGGCTCCAAGTTGGGAACTCGGGGGGTATAGGATCACGCGTCGCAAGATTTGGCCGACAATACTTGCCGTTTGGGGTCGCAACTTCATGTGACAATTCCAAGCAAAGAAGGCATGGGGGCTGGCAAATGACACCAATGAGCCTAGGCAGGCGATAGCCTTGCACCACTTAGAGTACAAGCGGGAAGCTGCTGAGACCTTGGAGCAAGGGCGGGCATCAGAGTCGGGGATTTGACCAGTGGCTGTTGAAGCCGACAAGGCCTGCAGGGGACAAGATGCATTTCGCACCAATTGGTTGGTGGTTTCTTGCTATAGTATGCAATTTGGGTTTCATCCAACTGCTGCGAAATGGATGTTGGCCATGGCCATCCGAGCGAGGCCGAAGCCTGGCAGAAGGCCAAAGAGGCGTACCGCCAGGCTGGCGACCAGGAGAGCGCGGGCCTTGGCGAGGTTGGCGCCGGGTTGAGAAGGCGACGTCCCTGAAATGTGAAACAAATTGTGAATCATTTGATTCCTCAGAGTTCAACTGATTTTAGAGGATGGTCCGTTCCGACGAACCGCTTGCTCAGGCGCTGCCCGCTGCGACCAGACCCTCCACGAGATGGGTGCGAGCAAGGCAGCTACCCAAGCTCCGGCGCCGGAGGCGAGACGCTTCGAGGGGGGCGAGGGTTTGGCACTCGCCGCGTCAAGGCCGTGATGCGGAAGGCCTAAGAGTCTTGAGATCTGTTGGATGCTTTGCGGATCATGTGGGGGTTTGCCAGCTGGTCAGGCCGGCGTTATGGGAGGCAATTTGCCACACTACGACCAAGCCGGTTCTCAAGCACTGTTGTCCCTTTGGCCCCCGTTGTTGCTGGTTCCCGATCAAGACTGACCAGTCCAAAACGGGCCGCTCTTTTCGTCCCCATGAGGTCGCCCTGCACCCCTCTCTGCAGCCGGCAAATGCCAGGAGCAATTGATGCAGCTGGAGCCTTTGATGCCGTTGGCGCTGAAGGAGCCCAAGAGGGAACGCAAGGAGATCCAGGAGAGTCCGACCGGGTGAGAACGGTGCCGTGGGGAAGTCGTGTTCTTTTTTTGGTCTCCCTGAAAAGGCGAATGTCCCTCCAAAAAGCACACACTCACTTTACGGACTCAGCTGCCCAAAAGACTGGAAAAGGGGTTTTCTCTTTTTGGAAAAGACTACATGAAGTGAACGGGAGGGAGTGCCCCCCGTTCTTCACTTGATTGATTCTCCTTTTCTCGCATCAACCAGGTGCACCACATAGATCGCAGCCATGGGATGCTCCTTGCAGTGCGGGTTTGGATCGTGGCTTTTCTGTCTTGGATCCTGGTTGTTGCCAGGACCTGTCCCTCTTGCATGGAGAGGACCTCGTCATGGCCCAGCTCACAAAGATCATGCAGGCAGACTGGGAGACCCTGATGAACATGGAACTTGAACATGCTTACACCCTGAATAGCAAGTCCTTTGTGAAGGACAAGTTTCCCAAAACTGAAGGACGCTTGAGATGGTGGCATTCTTTTTGAACCCATCCACACAAGGGGCCAACAAGTGCCCTACGCGCTTTGACACATACCCGCAGCCCACGCACCCTTAAAAAAAAAGTGAGTCAAATAGGGGGATCCCCAGCAAAAGGTGGTGTTTCTTGTAGTGTGCCTTCAAAATACCAAGAAGCGGTGCCCTCAAAAGGAGCTTTGCGCTTTGCGGACAGGGGAGCTCACACTTGGCTTGACAAATCTGGGCAGGACCTGGGGGTAGACGATATTGAAATGGACGAGGGCCTGATGAGTGCAGGGATGACCAGCAGGCGCCGCTGGGTTGGCAAACCAGGCTCATGCGTTTCTTTGGGTGGGCTAAAGATCCCTCCTCCCCCTGTTCCAGGGATGCCTGGTTTACTACTCTTGGTCTCCATTGTTTGCATCCAACGTTGCGGACCGCTGACCAGTGCAGCCACCAGCTGTGCAAGAATATTGGTGTTTGTCACAAACGTGTTTGCGCGCTCCCATCAAAATATGATTGTTCAAACGTGTGTGCGCTATCCCATCAAAATCTAACTCAATCAGGCGAGGCCCGCGCAACAGAACCATATCAAGCATATCCAGCGGGACAGCCTTTTGGCACGTTCCCAGCATCAGTCGATATTTTCCGCCAGGGCTGCAGTGCAGCTCAGAAGCGAGATGGAGCAGACCTTTGGGAACCTCCGGATCCCGGGCACTCTGGCCTTCGACCATCCAAGCATCAGGCAAGTGTCGAGAAGTTTTTGTGTTTGGTGGCTGTGTGCCAAAAGGGAACGGGAGCCAAGGTGGACAAAAGCATCACTTGGAATTATACTTCATGCATTGATGATTGTTCAGTGGCCCCTTTTTGCCATGTGGGTTTCAGCTGGTGCCCCACGAAAGAGGGCAAGCGCCTCATGTACTGTTCCATGGCCATAGCTTCCCAATGGAACCTGTGCTTGGGCATTTCCTTGGAGCCTCCACCAAAGGGAGTTTCATTTAATTGGCTTTGGGTGAATTTGGAGATTGCATGGAGACTCTTTGTTCCAGGTCAATAGCAGGCTGGATGGCGGAGAACACTGACCTTGTCGCAGGGTGAGCATTTCGAGTTGCGCCAGCGCGAAGCAGAAGGAAGGCCCAGTTCTCAAGGGACCCGATGCGGGGTAGCGGGTTCCAGCTTGCACCAGGGGAGAAGGAAACGTGTCGCACAAGCACAGCTTGCTGGACCTCAAGGGTCACCGATAGATTTAGAGCCACAAGATGTTTACAGTGCGCAGAGGCCCGGCTTCAAAGCTAAGCTGCGGAGGAAAAAAGGCGGCGCTGCACAGGCTCTAGTTGTTTGGGGTTCCGATTTAGGTCAGAGACCAATTCCTGGTTCCATTTCCTTTCAATTTTAAGAAAGGGGCAATTTTGGTTTAAGGGGGAACAACGATGAGACTCGTTGACAGAGCCGTATTGAGCAAGGAAGTGGCTGAGATTCTGTGGCTCAATTTGAGTCTGCTCAATCTGTCCAGTTTTCCCACGGGGGGGGGGGCCGCGAGGGACTAGGCAACACTACCCACCTAAAGTTTCCCTCAAACGCTACGGCGATGAGTCCGCGCTTGGCAGGAACGAGACCGCCGTCTTCGAGCAGCTGGCGGGGTCATGCGGGGTCATCCTCGTGTTTCCATTGTTCGAAGGTTTCGAGTCCCCAAACCACTACCATTGGCATGCCTTTTGTTTGCAAACTACTGTTGGTGGGTAGAAAAATGCTCACGTGAGCGTCACACCTCGAATTCATGCGCACCTTGAAGTTTTCGGGGGTTGCCTTTTTGCGGGTAGTAGAAATCCTGGGCTCCAGTGTCACGTCGTCGACTGGCTGGGATGAATTGACAGGTGCCTGCCGTTTGGGACTACACGCCCGAGCCTCGGGCTTTCAAGAGATGCTGCTCAGGCGTCGATGGGTTCGATGTGGCTGGGACCTGTTAGACCGAACCAGTTTTGCCCGGAGGCCCAAGAGCAGCTTCCAAGTGCAGGCTGGGGGTCTTTTTGAGCCATCGAGGATTTCCAGTGCCCTTTGACACCTCAAGCTCTTCGGTTTTCTTCGAGTTGTGAAGACTGGCCAAGCCCAGCGCCATGGTAAAGGGGAATCATCGTTCAGCTAAACGTGCAGGCCTGGTTGGCTCCGAGTTGTGTACTCGAGGGTTAGGGCCGCAGACCCGCACGATGTGACCTCTTGTTCCGTCTTCACACTGTCCGTTTCGGAAGCGGGACAAGAACTCCGTCGCCCAACTCTGCCAACCTGCGACGTTTCATAAGGGCCCGCGACCTGTGACAGAGCTGATGCTTAAGCATTGATTTACCCCTGCTTAACCATTGGTTGCAAGTTGGGGACTGAGGGATTCCGGCACGATTTGGCCTCTTGAGAAACACGGCAAGCAATCCGTGCAACTCATCTCCCAACCTGCGCCTCAAATTTTGCTTGGAATGGCACATGAGCCCCGCCTGAGAGGTGACCATCGATGTGCCGCCGCAGTTGGTGTACTATGTGCCGCTGGCTTCTGAGGCCATGGATAAAGGGGTGCAGAAACGGGATGGTGGCTGTGATATGATTTGGCACATCCTGGGGGAAATTGTAAAACAACATATCCTGGTGTGAAAAATGGTCAATACGGACAAGGAGATGATTGGCATTGTGTAGCTGCATTCAATCAAAGGTAACTTCGAGTTGTTGCTTCCGTTGGCCCATGCAGGCAATCAGTCCATTCCATTCCAGTCCAGCGTGCTGATGGACTCCCTGAAAGCTTGATTTCGAAGAACCATGTGAAGACACCGTGTTTCTTAAGGAGTCCAGCGTGCTATTCCTTTTTCCCGGAGCTGTCCCCCTTCCGCAGGTCTTGAAACTTGCCTGGGTGCAGATCCTGGCGTTCCTCATTCCGACCTGGGTGTTGTTGGAATGGTTCAAGGCTCGAATCGGATGGGACTGGCCTGAGTTTGCCTCGGCTCGGAGTGTTTCTGCGTGCACCCTTCGTTGGTTTGTTTGTTCCAAAGGAAAGGTGACGGACGCACATGGCTCCTGTCAGATCAAGACATGTGGGATTATTGGATATGAGTTGCCACCCACGCGCAAGCTTGCTTGGTTCAAGCATCGGATGTGGCTGAAGAGCAACATTGCTTCATTGCTTCCTGACTTCCTACCTGCATTCCTTCGCTCTTCAGAAAACATGGGCCCGAGCAAACTCCCTGAAATGCCGAGCGGTACCAACCCACGCACCATCCCGAAATGTTTGATCCCACGGAGTGAGCAAAAGAGTGGCTTGCTACTTCCATTGTCCTTGGCTTAGAATGCAGGCTGTCTAGAGCTTGCCCGGCCATCCTGGGCCATGGATGATCAGCGCTCCACAAGTGCAGAGTGGCTCGGCTCAGTTGGCGCATGCCGCTGGTTCTCGCTTGATCATTGCATTCAGTAGTCCCCATTTTTCGCTTTTTTGGTGGTAAACACTACCTTGTTGGCCCATTTAAGGCGAGCTTCCCCTTGGAGGCCTGGTTGGGGTGTTTCGTTTTTTAAGGCGGACGTATAGGAGACCTGGCCTTTGCTCGCGTGAGCAGCTTTGTTCAGATGACGGATTGTAGCTTTTGGGGAAACTCCCAAAAGGTCTGCGGCGAAGGCCATTGTGCGAAGGCTCGCGCTCGCGAAGCCTCTCGCGAAGTTCCCGCTGTTTGACACTGGCGAAGCCACTTCGTGAAGGCTAGCTAAATGCCATTGGCTAGCTAAAGCACGTCCACGAAACCGCAGCCACCGTCTTGTCGCGAAGCCACCGTCTTGTCGCGAAGTTTGTAAGCCCTGAATCAACAAACACTGCTCGCCTGAGCGTTGTGTTGTTGTGGGAACTGAGGTTATGGCGCAAAATGCCTCGAACCTGTGCCGCTGCTTCTGCGGCAATGGGTGGCAGGCCAGAGAGATGGTTCTTGGGGGCATTCGTTTCAATCTTATTGTCGCCCTTGCCTGATGAAACAAAATCCTGTGAAAGATGTATCATGGAATGCCAGTCACCGGAGGAGAGTAAATGGGTAAATGGTTTCAGGAAATCCCCAACTAGTTTGGCACACTCGTGGTTGTAAGCTGGATTAATGCTGCTGGGCAGATCAGTGGATTTGAAACCCTGAAGCAAACCACAAAGACGGTGAAGCTTCATGCGGTCCCTTGTCCAAGGCTCCTATTTGCCAGCTGGTTGGCAAAAGTCGGGTTGCGTGGAGTGCCTTGTAGGAGAACGAGGACGACAAAACCTTTGGCTCTGTGTCGGTGGGTGTGGGCGCGATCTCATCGCTGGATGTGCCGGACGACCTGCCACCGGTGGGCGCCAAAGAGAACCGGGGGCTTGGAGGGTGTCAAGCTCCGGCAAACGCAAAGGTATCCAAATTGGCAGACGTGTCCGCTTTGGGAAGAAAGCAGTTTCGATCTATGCAAGTCTCAGCCCCTTCTTGGCATTCCGCATCAGAAGCAGTTCAAGTATGATGGAACTGATGCGGCACGCCCTGCTATCTACTGGTCTGCTCACAAGGCCACCTCCGCCACCTCGATCCTGGCAGGTCACGGGCATGCTGTCGTACAGTGCTGACATGGTCCAGAGCTGAGTTCAAGGGTCGATGTTCTTGAGTAGCTGAAGAAAAACCCGTCAAAGTACATCAACCAATCAACCAGCCGATTGGTTCAGTTTCGGATCATCAAACCAGATCCAAAGCTGACAACAAGCACTGTTGGCCCTCGTCCGAGGAGCAGCCCTTGCGCAGCCGACTCAGCCGCCAGTGTGATGGGCGGATTCATCATGGTTCATCAAGTGGTTGGTTTCCGAATTGAAATGGTGGGCTCCGAACCATATCTCAACAACATGTAGGACCCCAAGCGGCAGTTGCAGCCTGACTGGGTTCGTTTTTTCTTACCATGGGGGGGGATTGTAAGCCAACTCACCAAAGAGCAGTTGCTCAAAGGGCAAATACCCTCCTTGTCATTCCAGGTCCCTTTCAAAGTGCCGTTTGATTCTCTTGGGCGGAATATGGCGGAATCAACACGTCACCGGAGGCGGCAAGCCCATCCGTGAGGGCGATCTGTGGCATCTCTCCACAGAGGCCAGCCCCCCGGATCGGTTGGAGTGCTGAAATTCCGCTTCAGGAGAAACGCTTGTTGGGGTGGGTTCAAGGGGAATTCAAAAGGAAACCACGGGTTTGGCGCATATCCAATGCAAGGCACCTCAAATCGGAAATACACCCATTTGCTTTCGCACATCTTCCGGGGAGTTGAGGGTTTTGCTCAACGCGTTTCACGGAGATTGTTAAGGTTTGAGCCTCCTTGATCATCTTGACGCAACCATCGATGGGCTTTGCTGCGATTGTCAAGTGACCTCTCGTTAGGACTTCACAGTTCCAAACATTCGAACTGCCATTGGTCGTCCTGGGTGAGAAACTCTAAGCTCGTTTGATTTGCGTTCGCGCCATGCGTAGGAGGCGGTCCAAAGAGTACGCCTGGCCCTCTTCGTCAATGGCCTGTCCCTTACCAACGACACCAAGAAGGCGTTCAAATCGTTCCGGGCAACTCGTGCCTATCGAAGACCGCCAGGTCTTCGTGCCGTTCTCACCCTTCACGTTGGCTTCAACCTCGGGGACCGGTCAGCTTCACGCTGGAAGTAACGGGGCCCCATAGGTGTGAACACATTCGAGGGCCCAGGGAGGCACCATGGAGGCATCATGGAGGAGGCACCATGGAGGAACAAGGTGATTTGCAGTGTGCTCCACTTGACCCTGGTAAACATAGCTTTCTGATCTATTTTCATGAAACTCATTTGTGTTCCACAACAGATGGTCAGGGCTGCCCACGGAAGCTGCCGTGCTTCAGGTTCGTAACTGCAAATTCCAGACGAACGCATGCGATGTGCAGGCGCGTTGACTGAATGTGGGCTTGGAACGGACATCCTCGCAAGCAAGCGATGGCAAGCAAACCTTAAACCTTGCAAGCCTGGGTCATCTTGCCTGCCAGGAATTCAGCTGCTACAAGATTTTCAAGGCTCTGCTCCAGAAGGCGCAAGATCAGGCCGTGTTGCCGACTCCGGCAGGTGCATTTGTTCAAATACGGGCGGTGCTACTACTTTGGCGTGAAGGCGACAGAGCTGTGCGCAGGCGCCGTGGTTGGCGGTTGGCTGTGACTGTTGCGTCAGACTCACAGCTATTTTCGCAGGAGAAGAGGCGCGGTCCTGTGTATACCGCAAGCATCACTCGGCATGCCGCATTGTTTCCAGAGGGTTGTGGATCAAGGGCTCCATTTTTGGCGAGCCCCTTCTTGAGGGGGTTAAATGGTTGTTAGGAAACTCAAGGTGGCTTTCACTTTGTATTTGAAGGAGCGCTCCAGCTGGGTGTGTGACATCTCCACCACGGTGCGCTTGGTGAGCCAGTCCCTTTTCCCACCCTTCCGGATTCTGCCGCTGCCTCAGAATTCGTCGCTCATGGCTTCTTTTGGCGTCTGTCAGATAAAACTGGGGCAATAGCCTGGTTGAGGTGCGATCCCCTCTCCTCCATGGCCCGACCCTCAACGCAGGGTCACATCGAGTCACCCAAATGCGACATAGCTCAATGATGCCACCTCCAAGACTTCACGAGTGAGAAATACTACATGTGTCTCAGTTCGAAAGTTGAAGCCCTTGTTACGTGCAGCGCACATCGCTGCAGGAGCGCACACACAGACGATTGGTAGCTGGCTATTTGCTGCACAGCGCGCCGGCCTTACCGCACACGTACTACGCAGCGCTATTTCCGGTTGTTGTCAGCTTCCGCAGTGCGAGGACAGCCCATGCGTCATCTCAGTCTTGTACTGCGAGTTGCAGGCCCACCATCAGGGAAAGGCGCGGACTCGTGGGCTGAGCTTGCAAAACGTCCACTTCTGAACATGAGTTTCAAGCGGGTCCGGATTCATGCAGGCCAACGGGAGCAGCGCAAAGCATGCATAAACACATAAAGACTGTTCTTTCAACATTCGGAAACGGCGCGAAGTGCATCCAGCGCGGGTAGATGTGCCAGCAAGCACTGGTGTGGGATTTGCTACGGGCGACGTCCTTGCAAAATCGATAAATTGTGTGCATCATCCCTGATGCTCTTGCTCCATGCCTTGCCATACTTGGTAGGTTGCCTGTAAGTGATAGTTTGCACTTAGCTTGGCTTTGCCAGAGGCCATGATGGTTCTCTATGAGAACGAGAGTTGCGAGGCCAGGTGTCGTATTCGCGGCTTCGGGCAACCTGCTGTTTGCAAAGCGCCGAGCTCTAGGCTCTAGGATTCCATGTTTGGTATTATGATTTCACAGGGGAAGACTGGATTGCATGGAAATCTTCACCTGACGCCCGCCCTCAAGGCATAGGGGATGGTTGCGCTTTGTGTGAGTGTGCATCGCTCCCTTCCAGGATGTCTAACTGAGGGGAGTTGTGCATTTGACCAACGGCCTGTTCAGTTGCCCAAGCTGCTATTGGAGTCAAGCAACGACCACATGACTAGCGAGAAGCACCTCGTGATTGATTTGATTGATTGAGTTGCTTGTTAGCAAGCCTGCATTGCGTGCTTGCTTGCTTGCTTGCTTGCTTGCTTGCTTGCGTGCGTGCTTGCTTGCTTGCTTCTGAGTGCGTCAATGCAAGCTTGCTCCTTTGTTGCTTCCTGCGTGCATGTGCGCGCTTGTGCGTGCACTGTATGCGTGCGCGTGTGTGCTTGCTTCTTGCTGGCTTGCTTACTTGATGGTTTTTTTGCTTGGATATCGTTTTTTTTTTTGTGTTTGTGTGTGTGTGTTTTTGTTTGCTTGCTTGCTTAATTGCTTGGCTTGCTTGGCGTGCTTGGCGTGCTTTGCTTGCTTTGCTTGCTTCTCCTCGCACGCTCACTTGCTTGCGAGCTCGTTTTCTTGCTTGCTTGCCCTATTTTCTCGTTTAAACTGTGCCGTGTTTCTTTGTTTTTTTCTTTCTTTTTTTTGAGTGTTGGTTGTTTGTGTTGTTTGTGTATATGGGTGCAGTGTTCGTGTCGGGATCGTGCACGTGTTGCTTGTGTGTCTTGTTTTCCGAATCCGAGAGGTCCCGGTGTCGGCCCTTGTCCTCACCGCAGACGCGGTGGTTGCCGAGAAGGCCAGGGCCACACCCTAAGGGAGGTGAAGGTTGGCTAAGGGTCGCCAGTTTGGGTGGTTCTAAAAAGGAAGCTTCACAAGGAAGCAAGAACAAAATGTCAGTTGCCGAGTTCGGCGGACTGCTTCTGGACTCCAAGACTGTAGGATTCAAGTTGGCAGAAGCGGCAGGCGCCAACACTTGGATGTGAGCAATCCATCAGCAAAGCTCTCTAGATGGAAACGGTTTCGCCCTTCACGAGAGTGGAAAGGAGCTGTACAAATTATGGCGAGCTCAAGGGAACCAGCTCATTCATGAAGGATTCCTTTGTTTGCAGTTTGATCCGTATATTTTTTGCCTGAAAAGGACGGCGCTGACCCGCTCCAACCGACCCATTCATTGCCAGATCGGGATCAACTGCAGCTGCTTCAGCGCCCGGGGCTTGGAACGGGCAAAGATTTGGCCGGCCGTTGGGGCGCAGATGCCGGCACTGTTGCGCGTACAGTTAGAGCCTCGTTGAAGGGTTTCGATGATTAGCTCCCAGTCCCCTTCAGTCCCCCCCTCTTCAGTCCCCTTCACTCCCCTCTTCAGTCCCCATCAGTCCCCTTCAGTCCCTTTCACTCCTTTTTCACTCAGTTTTTTTTGAGTCCCTTAGTTCCCCTGCAGTCCGCTTCAGTCCCCTTCAGTCCCCTTCAGTCCCCTTCAGTCCCCTTCAACCCCTTCAGTCCCCTTCAGTGCCCTTCAGTCCCTTTCGGTCCTTTTTCACTCAGTTTTTTTTGAGTGCCTTAGTTCCCCTGCAGTCCGCTTCAGTCCCCTTCAGTCCCCTTCAGTCCCCTTCAGTCCCCTTCAGTCCCCTTCAGTCCCCTTCAGTCCCCTTCAACCCCTTCAGTGCCCTTCAGTCCCTTTCGGTCCTTCTTCACTCAGTTTTTGTTCAGTCCCTTAGTTCCCCTTCAGTCCCCTTCAGCCCCCTTCAGTCCCCTTCAGCATCACCTTGTTCCCACTACGAACAAGGTGGGGCCAGGCTGTGCACACATTGCGGAGCGGTCGCGCGAGAAAATGCTTCACGCGCTGGCGGTTGATTGCATGGCCACCCCAAAGGAGGCGCCACATGTTCGCGCATGTTCACCTCAGAAAGCTGGGGCCACCCCGGAAAGGACTGACTGGTTGCGGGCCCGCTTTTTGGTTGATCCAAAGAAACAATCGCGACGTGTTAGCCGCTCCATTTCATTCAGGTGGAGCAACACGACTTCAGCAGCCGGACCTTGTCAGAGAGGAGCCTTCTTCAGAGCCGTGTGGCGTGAGCTTGCACGGTTTTGGGTAAACTCCTTTGAGACATATGGTTGTTTGGGCGGGGTTTGCGTAGCTTGCCCACAGCTTGTCACACAAAAGGACACCTTTGCGGCGCTAATGCGAAAACTGCTACCTTCAAAGGGCACGTACCGTCAGTGGTTGAAGCAGTTGTTCCAGAAAGAATCTGGTCGGCCGTAGGAAACTATGGCTGCGAGCCATCTCCAACCTGAAGGTGAAGTTGGCGAACGGGGCCCGAACCTCAACTCCACGTTGAGTGGATGGGGGGGGCGAACCAAGTTGAAGCTAGGTAGAAAGCTTGAGTCCTGACTTGGGAATTGGTGACACCTTTGCGTTTGGTCGCACAAGGGTGTCTAAAAGCAAGCTGCTCAGCTCGGGGTCTACAATTGGACTCAGGCGCCGACACCATCTTCAGATGAGATGAAGCACTATCGAGAGGCCTGGGACATGCTCCAAGAACCAGGAGGGCGTCACCCCAGCAACGCCAGACTTTTGATTTGGCTGGCTTTCCTCGCGCAGTCAACACAGAAAGGGCGCAGGGAGTGTTTGTTGCTTGTTCTTGAAACTGACCGGAAGCTGAGATGCGCACAAATTTGCAGGCAATCAAGGAGCACTTGCACGAGCAGATGGCTCAGGGTCCATGACAGTGATTGCAGGGCCACAGATGTCCGGCTATTCAAATGTGTTTGCTTGAAAAAGTTGGATTTTTCACGGGATCCTAAACGGTTCTTCCGATCGCTTGTGATGCTTGTGTCAAAAGACAACCAGGCGTACCGTCCGAAAAGAAAAGCCCATCAGCAGGCCACCAACTCCCACCCCCAAAAAGCAGCCCACCCACCCTCAACCAAAGTTATTTTTGCTGGTCACCCCCAACTGAAACGGGCTCGCTCCTTTCAGTTAAGTAGAATTCGAGTCGATTCAACGGGCGCGAGCCGAGGATCCGGGGCTCCTTGCAGTGCAAGGTGCGCACTGATGCCCTGCTGCCGCCGAGCCCGCAGAACACCTTCCGGGCGCCGGCCTTGGCCACCAGCCGGAGTGGCTCAGAAACTTTAGATCCGGCTCAGTCCGCATTGTCCTCTCCCTTTGCTCCTTCCTCTCCCTTGTCCTGTCGCCCTCTCTCCCTCCTCCCCATCCCCCCAAGTCTCTCTCTCTCTCTCTCTCTCTCTCTCTCTGTTTGTGTCTCTCTCTGCATTGCACCTTCACGACTACCGGCTTTTCCCTTGATTTCTCCTCTATGTCCTTTTCACGTTTTGCAGGATGCGCTGGTCATGTCCCTTCCATTCTTTTCAACCATTCTTTCGTTGTGAGTCATGTCCGTACGAGTCATGTCCCTACATCTCCCGTCGTGCCGATTGGTTTCCTTGTGCTTTGTTTCCTTTTCATTCCCCCTGCACACCCCTTGTTTTCATTTCTGTCTCTGTCATGCCCCTTTCAGTTCCCTTTGTTTCCCTTTCATTTTCCGTTGCTTTCTTGTCATGGCAACTTCCTATGTCCTCCCCTCATTTCCTTGCACTTCCTTGCATTTGCTCCCCAGTATTTCCCGCACAAAAAACCCACGGTTTTTGCAGCGTTTTCGCAAAGAGGACGTCCAGTTTCGGCCCAAGGAGGCAAGAAACCCAAACCAGCAAAGAGCCGGCAGGGGGAATCGAGCCTGGGACTAGTGGAACGTCAGCAAGTCACCGCGGGGGTGTAGGGGGGGGGGGTTATCCTCTATCCTCTCTTAGGTGCCCGACACGCCGAGCAATGTCGGCGGACCCTTTGACCAACAGGCTTTGTGTACATCATGATGAATACACAGAAAGGTGAGAGCTGGCGAGCTCAAAGATTCATAGGTTGTCATATATTCATGTTTGTAGCTTTATGTACTTTAGGTCAAGGGCGCCCTTGGATGTTGTGTCGATTCGCGGGCTGAGGGGGAGCTGTCCCCCTTCAGCGCTGGGCTTTGGGCCAGCGTCACAGGCGCGCCTGGCTAAAAGATCAGGTTCTGAGAGATCTGGGCAATACTTTTGCGAAACTCACTGCGTGATGAAGTAAGTGCGTAGCTTAATGCACACGTCACGCATGGTGACCAGAGGCAAGCCAGTCATTTGGTTTGTTTCGTCTATGTGGGGTGAGGTTCTATGTTCCAGCGTCGATGCTGGTAGCGTCGGTCAACTTTTTCAGTCTAAGGATTTCTCATGGCAGCTACTTGTAAATAAAAGAGCTCTGCCTCTTGGATCAACGCGACAGCCTGAGAGCGCAAAAAAAATCACGGCTGGACTCCAAGATCACGCACGCAATTCGCACGGACGTGCGCCCACCCACCTGCACACGCACACGCAACACACTAGACCACGGTTGGCCCGAAAGCATCACAGCCCGGCGATCGTTCCCGCGCAAGTTTTTTGCTCGATGTGACACAGCAACTAACCTTGTTCCTGCTGTCTTGCCACCTATCGGAAACCCCCCCTCACAGGAGTTTGCCAAGCACGTTAAAGATGACACATATACCGCCCTCGAGCAAAACAGTGACTACAACGCAAGTGACTCTCATGATGACTCTGCGCAATGACTCTCATGATGATTCTGCGCAATGACTTTCATGATCATTCTGCGCAATGACTCTCACCATAACTCTGTACAATAGCTGTTGTGATGACTCCGTTCAATGACTCTTGTGTAATGACTCTACGCAATGGCTGTCATGATGACTCTGTGCAAGGACTGATGACTCTATGCAATGGCTGTCATGATGACTCTGCGCAATGACTCTCATGATGACTCTGTGCAATGACTCTCATGATAACTCTGTGCAATGACTCTCATGATGATTTGGTGCAATGACCCCCATGATGACTCTGCGCAACGACTCTTGTGATGACTCCGTTGAATGACTCGTGTGTGATGGGTGGCTCTATGCGGTGGCTGTGATGGCTCTGCGCAATGACTCTCATGAGGCTTCTGTGCAACAACTCTCGCGGTGACTCTGTGCCATGACTCTCATGATGGTTCTGGGCAATGACTCTCATGATCTGTGCGATCACTCTCGCGATGACTGCGTTCAATGACTCTTGTGCGATGACCCTACGCAACGGCTGTCATGCTGACTCTGTGCAATGACACCTGACTGTTGGTCTGCCCAGGTTGCCCTGCGCTAGCTGCTATGTGCAAGCACTCTGTGCAATTTGCTTTGCGCAGGTTGCTCTGCGCAAGCGGCAGCGCTCTGTGCAAGTTGCTCTGCGCAAGTGCTGCCGGGGCTTTCGGGAAGTACTTCGCATACTAGTTTTCTGATTGAAAAGTTCTGCAGCCGGAGCTGCAGGACTGTGCTCCGCGTACTACAGTTGTACAAAAAAGTTGCGATTTTCCAGCCGGAGCTGTGCCCACGTACTACGTTTGCGCTTAAAAGTTGCAGTTTCTGTCTAGAAAAGCTTCCGCGGACCAGGCGGGGATCGACCCCGCGACCGCGCGACTCCGAGAGCAGCCGCGCAAACCACGCGACAACTTCCAAAGACCACTTCGCAACAAATTCGCACGGCGCCACAGCGAGAGCGCTTCGACACGACACGCACGATCCTCGCAAACCACGCCGATCCCCGTAGAGGGTTCATCCTGGCATGTCAAAATCGCAAAAAACCATCAGTTTTTTGACCTCGACTGCACGAATCTCTGCAGAGGATCGCTCGCACAGATCAGAAATCGTAAAGAAAATCCTCGGCCACACGAATCTCTGCAGAGGGTCGCTCGCACAGATCAGAAATCGTAAAAAGTCCACAGTTTTTTGGCCTCGGCCACACGAATATCCGCAGAGGGTCGGTTTTTTAACCTCGACCACACGAATCTCCGCAGAGGGTCGCTCGCACAGATCAGAAATCGTAAAAAGTCCACAGTTTTTTGACCTCGACCACACGAATCTCCGCAGAGGGTCGCTCGCACAGATGAGAAGCCGCAAAAAGTCCTCAGTTTTTTTCACACGAATCTCCGCAGAGGGTTGGTTTTCGTAGAGTGCTGTCGGCCCTGTAAGAAGAGAAGGAAGTAATTTACAACTCGTCATGAGTGAGAACTCTCATGAGCATTGCTCCTCGCCAGTGACTCTCACGAGCGTTGCTCCTCGCAAGTGGCTCTCACGAGCAGTGTTCCTACTCTGTGCAATGACTCTCATGATGATGATGACTCTGTGCAATGACTCTGATATCTCTTTGCAATGATTCTGATGATGATGACTCTGTGCAATGATGGTAACTCTTTGCAATGACTCTCATGATGATGATGACTCTGTGCAATGACTTTGATGATAATGATAACTCTTTGCAATGACTCCCATGAATCCAACGGAAGAACCCTTCGCCATGCTTTCGGGAAAACAAAACAAAACAAAGCAAAACACGCGCACACACACACACACACGCTAATTGCCAAGCATGAATCATGAATGAAAGATCGGTTTCATACGCGGGTAGGGCCGAACGCGTTTGACGTTTATGACCAAAAACAACACGCTCGGATGTTTTTAAGCATCTTTAAGCAACAGCGTCACACATGTCAGAGGCGCTGCAGCAATTTTGTGTCCAATGCATTTTTGTTTGCTGCTGGACTGCCAGGGGCCGCCACTGCAGAAGAGGCGGGGGCGAACGATGTATGATTACAAGTGTTTGCTGATTTTGGGGACAGACCTTGAAAGCGCTTGACATATTCAATCTACGCCAATGCGCGCGCTTGGCAGGGCTCACCGGGGGACTTTGTTGGCAGCCTGAAGCAGGGGCTGTAGTATTGACCGAGCTGTCGCGCAGCTGACATCTCATGTTTCACCACTGGTCTCAAAGACCAGCCCAGTGTGGACGAGCGGGAAAATCGAGCAATTTTTTGGCATGGCCTTTTCACCCTGCGGCCTCGGCAATCATGTTGTCAGCAGCTGTTTGAAGGCGAGGCCGAGGTCCTGTTGTGATCAGTGCTCATGCATCAGGGCGTCGCATTTGACCAGCGTCTTGTTGAAACGCGCGAAGCCCAGAAAAGCTTGTGGTTTAATGCCTGGACGGTCGCTCTGTGCAGCACCTTGCTTTTGCTGAGGTATGTGATTCCGCAATTGCCCTCCAAACAATCCTAATTCGGAAAAAATGAATGAAGAAAAGAGAAACCGTATCATAACAATTGCAATTCATCTTGTTGTCTCGCTTTATGTTTAATCTTTCTCTGATTTTAAAACCATTTGGGTTAATAATGAAGCGATGTGTTTCAC